TAACAATTAAATAATAGAGATCTGAAGAAATATTTGTAACAGGAAAGAGCATCACAGATCAATTGATTACACTGAAAAACATGGGGTTTTTTTTCTTTTTCAGCTGCCCCATTTGTCTCGCTGTAGGTCCTACTGAGCACATGGCAGGCAGAGTGTGTTGGGGGGTTCAAGGAGCAATCAGCCTGACCTGAAAGCTCAAGAGAAATTTAAGACATCAGCTCCTCTGCACCTCCCTCTGCCCAGGTAGGAACATCTGTATTGTATCTACCCAGGTGTATTTACAGTCCTGTGCTCATGGCAGAGAAAACTTGTCCCTAGAGGAACCCACAGGAGTTTCACCTCTGAAATCAATCTCTCTAGATGTCACCTGAGATTTTAATCCTCCTATGTTTACATCCTTATAGCCTTCTACGCACGCAGTAGAAGTTTTTCTGAGCAGATTGCAAGCTACATGTTACCATGTGTGCCATAATAAACAAATACAACTCATGCACAAGCAATTCAGAAAAAGTTCAGGTACACAAAAATAATTAGCAAAGGGGAAAGAGATATTAAGCATAAGACAGTTTAATTACAATTTTTATACTGATAGAGTTAAATTCTGTTTTCTTCATCAAGTAGAATATGGAGAAAGAAGAGCCTTGGAAAAACTATAAGAATAAAACAGGTTGTAGGTTTTTTGGTTTTTGTTTGTTTTTATATCAGTACCCAGGATACTGTGATACTTTTTTTTCCCTGGAGTGATTTCTGGTTTATTTTTCACAACAAAACCCCCCCAAACCACTCTGTGAAGCAAAATGTATACATGTAGCTACACATGAATACATGTCTAGCAGCATTTGCATCACCTAGCTAAGGTCTGCTACTTGAATTATGTATCAACTTTTGGGTTTAAACATATTTGGAGGGAAAGAAAAATATGGTAAATTTAAAAATCTACTTGCCTCCATCTGGATTATAAACTACCTCAGAGAATGGGTGGGTACAGCTGATTAAGATAAAAAGACACGTTGGGCTATTTGTCTAAGCCACAAAAGGAGAATTTGTAAGACAACAGTTTCAAATGCTTAGGATTTAGCAGTGTTGTAGAGAGGAATAATAAAAGCCATTAGTGATTACAGCATGCTGAAAATTGGCATCTGAAGGTATCAGGAGAAGGCTGAGTTGTCTGCAGTAGTGCAACAAATAAACTTGAAAGGCAGCAAGCTCAATCACGAGGTTGCACATCACTTCAGGAACTGGGGAGCATATTTATTTTTGAGTTCTGGAAACAGTGAAATAAATCAAGAACATTGTATCTAAAATGGTAAAATATTTCTTTACTACATCCCCATCCTAAAATTCATCACTTTTAAATATTTTTAAAATAAAAATTGCAAAATTACAAGGTATTTTTCTTTACTTACCTTAAAAAAAAAAAAAGCTCTAGTAAATACATTTGCTCTGTTGTTCACAGAAGCAAATTAGAAATTAGAACTCTCATCCCAGTTTATCCAATTTCTTTATTTCCACTCTTTGTGCTCAGTACTATGTAAAAGCCATAATTAATGAGACAGAAAGTGTGAGGTCCTTTAGGACAGTTACCTGGCACTGTGTTCAGCCTGCTTCTCTGGGGAGCACTATTTTGATTATTTGTCTTCTGTTTCAGTCTCTCTGGGGCTGATGTCATACTTCCAGTATCAGAAGAATTGTGCAGCAGTAAATGCAGGCTGTGCCATTCCCCTCCTTTCTTTGGGAAGTGCACTTTAAGATTACGGAGACCCTCCTTGCTCTCTTGCTGTCTGCTCTGAACAGAACATACACCCTTCAGAACCACAGGTTTTCAGAAGGTAGGTAAGTACCTGGCAGATCTCTTCTGCCTATTGTATGACAACCAGAAATTGCACATGATATTATAATTAACTGTTTAACTTCAGCTACAGGAGCCCTCACTTCCAGATGCAGCAGAAAATGTCTGGGTTTGGGAGGGAGAACTCATGAGGATTTGCGTTATTTTGCTTGGAGAGGGATGTACTTGCTCCTCCAAACCCCTGTTAAAGAACAGGCCATTGTACTGTCACCATGTTTGTCAGGGTTCTGGTAAACCAGCTGAGTTACAAGGGATGATTTCTATTTCTTCATCTGGCCTGTGTTTCCTACCTGGCCTTAAGGCTGTCCTGTGAACTACCGTGCACATTTACAGCTGTGAGAGAAGGCACAGAAAGATGCCAAGTGGTCTTCCCACAGCTTTACAGTTCAGTCCATCGTCGATCTGAGAAAGATTAATTTATTCCTATTAATTTGGCTGGCATCAGATGTCCTGTAGAATTCCAAGATATGTACCTGAATGTGCCACAAAATTGACTGCTGGTTCCTGAGCTCACAGACATCTCTGCAGGATTAGGGCTGTGAGGAATGTGCGACTGTAGGTCTGTCTAATCTGTGTGTGCACAGGGGGATTAAAGGTACAGGGGCAGCATCTCTTCTTGCCCTGGTGAAGGTGATGAACATGCTCACATAGCCAGAACCTCTCTAATGGCACAAACAAATACTACTTGAAAACAATGTGAATTCACTCTGGCAATCCCTGCAGAGACACTAGCTTTAGGCTGCTGAGACCAAACAGCCTGAAGTGTCTGGGATGCTGGTCACCACATTTCACACCAGCTGAAACATGTAGCTGTGTAATCTGCAGGGAGCATAAACAGAAATATTAAATTCTTGAAAAAACAGATACAGGAAAATATTTCTTTTATGACAATCATAAACAAATGTAATTCCTTCCAAATCCCGACAACTTCTGAAATTGTTCTCTGAGCAGAAACGTCTGTGTCACGGATAATACTCTAAATATAACATAGCCTCTGATTTTCTTCCTCCCTTACTCTGTTTTTGGCCTGGTCAACTGTTTCAAGGCTCTGTGCTGAAATTGCCGGTTCTTAGCCATACACTGTAGTCACAATGGGATGTTCAGCTATCAGTGACCCTCTCCAGAAAAGTACTTGCTGTATTCAAAAAGCATGGGAGAACACAGGTTTTGGGGGAGGAAGAGTGCAATTGGTGGTTATCCTCAGAGTTGAAATTTTTATGGAAGAGAACAGTGTTCAATGCATTGCCCCCAGATTATATCACTACAGTCAAACTAAAAATGGTAGAAGAAAAAAATCTGTTTCAGGACCAAGAATACTTTCCTTTGTATAATTAGGTTCTGCAGACTTCATAGTGGGTGTCTGTGTCTCCCTCATTTCCATCTATCCTCAGAACACACTGTGGAGGATAATCAGTCCTGCTCACTTTGTTATTAATTTTTTCTTATCTCTCCTGGAGATGCTAATTCAACATTATGTACTTAAAATTTGTATGTGGAGGCAGAAGTCTGCTACATTCTCTGCATGGGATATTTTTGCTGAGGTGCAAGGGCATTTGAAACACATCTGTGGAACAAGATGCGTGTTCTTTTCTGCTAGTATTTAAAATGAGGTCTCTGATTTTGTGTGTTTGGTTCTAGATAACTGTTGGGACTTAGTTGTCAAAGCAGTCAAACTTTTACACTGCCACAGGATGCATGGAATCTCTCCATGCTTACACTGGTAGCTGCTGATGGCTTTTCTGCTCCTGAACCTGATGAACTGTGAAAAAACAGGCATGGATGACAATCATGCATACTCATAAGGAGCTTTAACAATGCTAGATCTATGGTTGGACTCAAGAGGAAATGTAGGAAGCAAATCCTTACCAGGACTCCAACTTGAGCAATATTTGCCTTCTTTTAAGTGCTGCCCTTCATTCTTTATTCAGTTGTGGACCCCTAACAAATGTCCAGTAGGAGAGCAGGCTCCCCCATCCAGTAAATATTAATTGCCTGCTAACAGAATTCCTTTTTCAACTCCAAAATGATACTCAAGTCCCAGAACTAAAACATTTGCTGTCAAGCCTCCCATTGTGAACTGTGTCACATCTGTCATTCTTCAGGTTACTGAAGAGAACAGGAACCTCCCTCCGAAACTGGCTGAAGGCTGTTTCACCTCTCTAAAAGACATTGCCCCCAGGTAATACAAAGTCACTCCCTTGTGGTTTCTGTTCTCACGCTGACTGTTGCCGTGCAGGAAGCGGCTGCAAGAGAGGAAACCTTAGGCTTTGACTCCTGCTTATCTTAGAGAAGTGCTGGTCCTTCGGCAGTGGGAAATGAAGATCTTCTCTGGGGCAGGGTTGGGGCAACAGTCCTGAAGTGCAGGGTAAACTGATAGAGGCCACAGAGGTGATGAGGGAGATGGGGTAGCATGTGGGGAAGGGTTGGAGGAACTCCAGAAATCTTAAATTATTTCTAGTTGTGTTTGGGGTTATAAGTCTGAGGCAGTGGTACATAAAAAATTTTAACTAAGTATCCGCACAATGTTGGGAAGAGGTAGCTAATATCCATGCCGAAGCTATGTTGATGGCAGACAGGCGATGGATGGCATTTGTAGGATAGACTCACAGGGCCCACAGAGTAGGTACCTTACTAGCAGATTGAGTGATGCCCTTTTTCCTATTAAACCTAAACCGTCTACATTCTACCTTATTTTTAAAAAGTCTTTCCCAGAGGAGTGAGACTGAAAAGCCAGGCACCCTACGTTCCTTCCCTGGGCTGGGGTCTCCGGGAAGGGCGCCGCGGCTCCGCAGGGAATGCCGGGACGGGCGCGGGGCGCGCGGCTGGGGCGGCAGCGCCACCTGCGGGCGGATGCGGGCACTGCGCCCTCGAGCCCCGCGCCGTTCAAACGCCTGCGGAGCTCTGCGCATGCGCAGTGAGCTGGGGTGCCTGCGGTGGCACAGCTCCTGTACGTGCTCGTGGTGCTGGTTAACACAGTCTGAAAATCGAGCTTGTCTCTGAGGTACATCCTGCTCTGCACTTGCTGCTGATTAGGAGTATGTAAAAGCCTTGTGTGAATACCACCTGTTTACCTTAAAGCGTTAAATTAAAAGTCTGTTTATACCGTTGTGTATGTTTAACAAATATGTGCTTATTTCACAAGAGTGGTCAAATGAGTGATCTCGTGGAAGAAAACGGCAAGAAAAGCTATTCTTCCCAGGAAACATCTGCAAAAAAAAATGTGTCTCCTGCTGAGGACTGCTCAATAAGACACAAAAATGTGGTATGACTTCTCCAGTACTATTTTATTATCAAGATATTTAAAATTGCCTTCAGCTTTTTCCATCATTACAAAAACAAAGAGCTGGAGTGAAGAGGGAAATATCAGTAACAAGAACAGTGAAATGCATCAAGTTTGTAATGCAATGATTTAAAGGGCTAAGAGCAATTCTAAGTAAGTAGGGAAACAGAAGAGTAGTCTTAGAGGAAGGAATATCACCATACCTTATTTTTCTTTTGCAACTTAAAATTGCATTATTTATGATCACGAATGGTGATGATGCTGAAAAATCTACCCCAGAATCCAAAGCAGACATGTCTGAATAAGGTACATGAGATTGCCCTGTATGTTTTCAGGAGAATGCATCTGAAGATGCACAGCATCACCACCTTGGGAAAAAGTGCACTCAAGTGATGGACATTCCTGAATCACTGTATCAGCAGATTGGGCTGAATGGCCACTGCTTTCCCCTGAGAAACAGTGAAAGTGCTCAATTGTTTGTGGAAAATCACTGTGAGCTCTGATGGGAATGACACCCTCCAGGGAAGCTAAGAGATGGCAAGGCAGCTCCATTTACATAACAGGAGAAAAATATAAATTTGTATGTATTTTTGTGCCTTTACATAATGAATGATAAGTGTCAAAGCTTACAGTCGTTGTCCAAAGGGAAATTGTTTGACATGGTGCTTATGTTGCAGTGACTTTAGAAGTATCTGTCTATGTATGTGGACTGTGTGGAATGGTAATACACAGAGATAATATTTTAGTTTCCAAAAGTATTCAGCAGTTTTAACTAATTGTAAACATGAATTCCATAAAATTGGCAAAAACAGTGCATCCTCCTATTTCTCAGAAAACCGTGCTCAGTTGAGCTTCTTTGTTTTTGTCTGTGTGTTGGAGTTTTTTTTTCTCATACTTCTCGCTTGTGCAAATGTTTTCTTACTGTACTAGTTGCTCCTTCAGACATTTTTCTTGCCCTCAGATGGTTTGGACATAGATAGTTTCTAGGCATCTGAGGGAACAGTGAAAATAAGAGTGAATCCATTTGAGATGCTTATAATCATAGTACTTGTTTTTACATTTTAGATGAAGATGAGAACAAAACACATAATTCTGCCTCTCACATGGCAACTTGCAAACTCCATGCCACTGTACCAGAGTCATGTATTCAGAGTTATGAATACAGAGTTGTATGTCATGTATTCAGAGTTATGATTGTTCCATCCCCAGTCAGGATGCACAATCGGTAAAAGGAATACTTGATTAATAGTCAGACAATCAAACATTTTAAACAATCAATATGATCTTATAAGTTATCAGGAATATTAATTTTAATGTCATTCAGAAGTCAGTGGGGACACTTGAATGTGTTTTCCAGTTGTACTAATTACAAACTTTCTGTTGTTCATTTATAGCAAAAACTCGAGAAACAATTAAAATGCTTAGCCTTTCAAAATCCAGGACCTCAGGTAGCTGACTTCAATCCTGAAACTAGACAGCAGAAAAAGAAAGCATGCATGTCACAGATGAAACAAAATTTTTTTTATGAGTCCAAGTAAGACCTCTAATTTATTACCTGATTTACTTTAACAAATGTCTGGTAGGCTGTTCATTGAACCGAAACAAAATTAATAAAAGCATTGTATTTTTCAATATGATTTCTTGGGAAAACAAGATTTTTCTGTATGACTTAAAGGGAATTTTGATATAGTATGGCATGCATTCATTTTTTAGTACCAATGGCTGTTGCAATTAGGGTATAATGCTGGTATTTCATTTTGCTGTGAGTTTGTTAAAGACTAAATACTTGTTGTAAACACGATGTTTCCCACACATGTTTGATTTAGTGTCTGAATGCATTGAAGCATTGTCTGAAAATAATTTTTCTTCTCGTTCACAGATTTACAAGGAAGTATGACAAACACGGCAGGCTGCTTTGTAATGACATAGATTTATGTGACTGCCTGGAAATGGACTGCCTGGGTTGCTTCTATCCTTGCCCCAAATGCAACTCGAACAAATGTGGGCCAGAATGTCGCTGCAATAGGAAATGGGTTTATGATACGATTGAGACTGAAGCTGGGGATGTGATTAGTGAGCTACCATTTTTTGTCCCTGACTGATTATGTTCTGTTAGGTTTTGTGGCTGAATATTTTTCTTTTAAATTCATGTTTTATTAAAGTAAATCACCACCTGGCAGAGATGCTTGTGCTTTTTTTATTGCTGCCTACCTAGCAAGTTTTAGCATTCCCCATCAAGTAAAAGTGTGTATTTCATTCTTCCTCATCCTTGTAAGCTTTGCTGAGGCACCTAGTCAATTCTTTCTAAATCTTGACTTTCTAAAATTGAAGGTATCTGAACTGTTATGGGAAGATAATTTTCTTACCCTGGGAAGCTGAACTGCTTTACTTGTAATGAGTGTTTTTTGCCGATTTCTCTGCTTGTTCAATTACTCAGATGTGTGACACAGCTCTTTCTTTTGTGTAGGCTTGTCCAAGAGCCTTCTCATCCTGATGCATTCATTCCTTGTATAGGTGAGACAGGAGGCATTTGAGATAACACTGTTCTTTGAAACTAGGTCACTACTTTCCATGTTTGTCTGTATATTAAGTGAAGGAGAGTGGAAACAACTCTCTCTCAGCAATTCTTTCTTGCTGTCCAGGAAGAAAAACTGAAACCAACATGTACAGTCTGCACTATTTTTTTACAGTGTGTGGCACGTTAAATGTCCACTGGTCATTAATTATATGGCTAAACAGAGTGGATATTTTTCCTTCTGGACAGAAAAATATCTTCAGTTCCATAAGTTTCCTCTTCAGGTAAGACATGACAGATTTTAAATAAAATAACTTACACCCAGTCTTCTTATGAGGTAGGTATTCTCATTCATGATAGGCATTCACACTCCTTTTGAGGAGTGAGAGTCCCTCTAGATCTTGAAGGCAAGAAGGCTGCAGATGGTTGCAGGTGATTTCCAGGAGCATGCTGCTAGTGGGGGAATCATTCCTTGGGCCTAGTGCTTGTTTCTTTTTGAGGAGGCTCTCCCAACTTTGAACATGGCACCACTTTTCTCCCTTACCACAGGCCATTCTCTGTGACAAAGACCATCTGCTCCAAGACAAAGATACCTTCCAATACATGAAACTTGGGAACAGATCCCAAGAATGTCTTAACATCAAAATTTCCTTCTGAATGAGATGATTTGGGACAAAATCATCATACAGTCAACCCAGGACACTTGCTACCTTGGAAAAATTGTTTTGTTCCTTTCAGCTAATGACACCTTAAGCTGGTATAATGTAGGCAGCGTGGGCAGCAAGCTGGAGCAGCTGGAAGCCATTTGCAGTGGGAATGCTGTGACACAGTCATCATCAATGAAACATGCTGGGACAACTTGCACAACTGGAGTGCTGTGACAGATGGCTGTAAAGTTTTCAAAAGGGATGAGTGAGGAAGGAGAGGTGCAGAGGTAGCCATGTAGGTTAGGAAGAGTTTTGGTTGTCTCAAGCTCCATGATTATGACAATGGGGTTGAGTGTTTCTGGGCATGAATCAGAGAGAATGATAACAAGGCAGATATCCTGGTAGGAATCTGTTATAGACCACCAAACAGAAGGGAGGAGCAGATCAAATATTCTATAAGCAGTCTCACAATTGCTTGCCCTTCCTCTCTAGGGGAACTTCAGCTTTCCAGATGCCTACTGTCAATACAGCAGAGAGGGAAAACAATCCAGGAAGTTCCTGGAGTATGTGTAAGACTATTTTCTGATACAGCAAGTCAGCGAAGAGAAGGGACCTGTTGGACCTGTTGTTTGTGAACAGAAAAGAACTAGAGGGTGATATGATGGTCTGAGGCAATCTTGGGTACAGTGATTATGAAATGAATTTTCAGTTCTCAGAGAAAAAAATGAAGGGGGTCAGCATAACTGCCATCTTAGATTTAGGAAGATCTGTGAAAGGGCCTGGTTGTCAAAGTCCCTTAGGAGGTAGCCCTGAATGGCAAAGAAGTCCAGGTTTTTAAAGAAGAAAATCTTCAGGGTGCCTGTTCTCATGTGCCAAAAGACAAGCTGATGTGGAAGAAGGCTATCCTAGCTGAACAGAGAGCTTTGGCTGGAATTCTGGGTAAAAAACGAGAATATATTACCTTTGGAGGAAGGGGAAAGCAACTTAGGAGAACTAGAAGGATGTTGTGAGGTTATGCAGGGAAAGAAATAGAAGGGACAAAGCCCAGAAATTAATCTGTCTACTGCTGCGAAAGACAACATAAATGTTTTTATGAGTACACCAAACGTTTTCATAAATACATAGAGAAGTTTTGGACAATGTTCTCAAGCACATGGTATAGCTCTTGGGATGTCCTGTGCAAGACTAAAAGTCCCTTCTGACTCAGCATATTCTGTGATTAGGTGACCACAGAGAAAAAGGAAGGCTAAGGAGGACCTCGTTACCTCAAAGATATGGGGAGATGCAGCATGACAAAGGATGAAGAAAAGGCAGAGGTGCTTAGTGCCATCTTTGCCTCTGTTTTTAAAACAAGACAGGTTGTTCTTTGGGTCCCCAGCCTCATGAGCTGGAAGACAGGGATGGGGATCAGAATGAAGCCTGCATATTAAAGGAGCCATGACCACTGACCTGTTATATCATACCCAAGTCCATGGGGCTGGATGGGATTCACTGAAAGTAACTGAGGGAGCTGTCAGCAAAGCTCACTAAGCCACTTTCCATCACGTACCAGCACTCCAGGATAACTAATGAAGTGACAAATGACAGAAGGTTGGCAAATATTATGCCAATCTATAGGAAAGGTTGGAAGGAACATTCAGGGAACCATAGACCTGTCAGTTTGGCCTCAGTGCCAGAGAGGGTCATGAAGCACATGCCTTCACTTGGCGTGTATGGGGCTACCAGGGGATCAGGCACAGCCAGTTTGGGTTTAGGAAAGGCTGGTCCTGATTAACTAACTTGATCTTCTTTTGTGACAGGGTGACCCTGCCTAATGGAGAAGGAAAGGACTGTAAAGTAAAGCCTTTGACACTGTTCCCCACAGCATTCTCCTGGAGAAACTGACTGCTTATGGCTTGGACAGGGGCACTCTGCCCTGGTTAAAAACTGGCTGGATGGCCAGAGAGTGAAGGTGAATTGAACTATGTCCAGCTGGAGGCTGGTCAGAAGTGGTGTTCCCCATGGCTCAGTGTTGAGGCCAGCCCTGCTAAACAAGTGGTTTGAGTGTTCCCTCAGTCAATTCAGAGATGACACTAAGTTGGATGGGAGTGCTGACTTGCTGGAGGGTGGGAAGGCTCTGCAGAGGGATCTGCACAGGATGGATTGATAGGCCAAGGCCAGCTGGGTGAGATTCAACAAGGTGAGGTGCTGGGTCCTTGGGCCACAACAACTTCATGCAGAAGTTGGAGCAGAGTAGCTGGAGAGCTGCAAGGAGGAAAAGGACCAGGGCATGCTGGTCATCAGCAGGTGAACATAAGCCAGTGTGTGTGCAGGTGGCCAAAAAGGCCATTGGCTGTGGTGTAGCCACGAGTACCAGGGCAGAGATTGTCCCCCTGTACCAGGCAAAGGTGATACAGGGGGACAATGTGTGCTGTGTCCAGTTTTGGGTTCCTCACTATAAGACAGACCTTGACTCTGGAGAGTGTCCACATTCTGGAGTAAGTCCAGAGAAGGGCAATGGAGTTGTTGAAGGATCTGGAGCACAAGCTCTATTAGGAAAAGCTGAAGAAGATGGGGGTGTTTGTCTTGGTGAAAAGGAGGCTCATGGGAGACCTTATGTCTCTCTACAACTATCTGAAATGAGATTGTAAACAGATGAGGGTTGGTCTCTTCTCCTGGGTAACAAGTAATAGGATGAAAGGCAATGGTCTCCATTTGCACCAGGGGACTTTTAGATTGGATTTTAGGAAAAACTTCTTCACCGAAAGGGTAGTCAGGCATTGGAATAGGCTGGCCAGGGAAGTGGTGGAATCACCATCCATGACAGCACTCAAAAGGCATGTGGATGTGGCACTTTAAGACATGGTTTAGTGCTTGGACTCAATGATTTTAAAGATCTTTTCCAACCTAAACAATTCTATGATTCTATAAAAACACTTACTACCAAAAAAAAAAAAAACCAACCCAAAAAACCATCATAGGTATGACACTCTGTTTGGTAAATGGATCTAGTGATGTTCTCTCATATACTTCACTGGTCCCCAAGTATCCTTTGACTTCTTCCAGGAATCCAAATAGCTCACATAATTTCTTAAGGTAGTTAGAAATCCTGCTCATAAGTCAAGAGTCAGGAACTGTTTCTTGTTCAAATGTGCCATAGACTCATTCTAGATTTGATGGAACAAGCATCAAGAAGATAAAGTTAATTTAAGTTGACAGGAAGATGGCAGCCTTTGACATAACTTCAAGATCTGAAATGGACAGGTTTGAATTATCATCTATTTCTTTTTATTTTAAGGCAAAAACCTAAATAGTTTATCACATGGATTCCTGTGGTAAGGCTACATGTTACATTTTCTGAGTAACGTGATTAATACCAGATTGGTGGAAATCCAATTGTTGAATTAATTTGTGTTACTCTGTGGTTTTTAAAATGGACTGTGACTCGGTCACAGTCATAGCTAAACACAAATTCAAAGAGAACTCCACACAAACACACTTATTGCAACCTTGGAAATAGAGCACAAAACCTGAAAATAAAAGAAAGGTGAGAGCCAAGATAAAGAAATAACAGGGCAGAGGCAGTTCTGCTGTGGTTTGAAAATAACTCTACTAGTGCAATGATCCTGCTAACTTTTCCCCAAATTCTTAATGAGCAGTTCAGATTGAACGAGTATAATTCTATTAGGGCAGATGTACATGGGGAAAAAGAAAACATGATACACGTATTTTTATATGGATTGTGAAAGTTAGTGGTAGATACAAATAGCAACACAGTGCCCATATTTGACAGTTTTGTTAGGAAATTACATACCACCACACTGCATGACATTATGGTTTTAAATCCCTTGAGAGAAATGGCAGAGAACATTTTATAGTCTCTTGAGAGATTGGTTTTGCTCCAGATGACATCAGATCATTTTACACCTTATAAATCAGTCTAAACAGAATATGATTTTCC